TGGTCGAATTCACGCACACACACTTAAGGGTGGACACTGATCCGCATATATGCCCTCTCCTCTCAGTTATATACCACCGCACATGAGTGGAATCGTTGATGTGGTTACAACAAGTGGCTACAACAACTAGCATGCCTCTCTCTCTCTAGAAGAGGGTTACATTTAGACAGATGTTAAGGAAACAAGAGGTTGAGCCGTTTCACGCCTTGCTTTAACTCTCTCTCTCTCTTCTATGGGAGCCTAACGCGAAGGGAAACGGAAATGTGCACTTGCTGGTCCGCGCATTATTTAACAAGGTCATAATTAAAAAAAGAAAAAGTCTCGGTTTTTTGCAATTGTCGTCATTAAATCTCCTGGTGCGGAGTTTTTAGGTTCCTCAAACCATCGCATAAGGCTGATAAGGTAGGGGGAAGGGGAGCAGGAGTTGGATAATGCAATTAGTTCTCCTTTTTGCGGGCTGCATCCACACTGTAGGAGCCTGGACCTTGCAGAGCCAGCATCAGAAGGCCACCAGTGATACTGGTTGTCTGAGCGAATTTGAACCACACGTAGTCCTTGTCGAGAAAATGGTCCAATTTCAGCAGACTGAAATGATTGACATAAAACCCTATCCACATCACAGCACCCATTAGGATGGCAAAGCAGCGTGTATATAAGCCAATGAGAACCGGTACGAGGACGGCAGAATTGAAGAAAACCTGAAATCAGAAGAGGAAGAAAGAGATGAAGGTGAAACATTGTCTTGTCGGGGCTCCCTGCAGGCATGTGACTGGATGATTACGTCCCCGTTAAAAAAAGAGGATAAGTCGCCCCTGCGCACCAGCTGTTCTGGGGTCTAACTCGGAGGAGTGACAGGGTGAGGGGAGAAATTAAATCACAGTAGTAACACTCGAGGATATAAAGCATCTCTCGTTTTCACACGTTGTAAAATTGGGGGGACTACTTTTCATAACGCTCTTCGTGAAGGGTGGGTTCAACTTCAACAAATTACGCCACTATCAGTGCAAACGTATGTTGGTGTTGCTGATAAGTTAGCGTACCAATGAGGCACGCGGGAGTAGAACCGAGAGAAATTTATCCAGTTCAGTTGAGCTGGCTTTGTACAAAAGGGCCACACTTACCGACATCTTTTGAGGCACTTTCGCGCGAAATGCATTTCCTATGTGATCGGCTGGTATCGTGTAGGGCAAATAATTCTGCTATTGCCTCTGAATATGGATTCGTGACGGATTTCGAAAAATCAGACGGATAACCTTTTTTGTTCCAACGATCATATCTGCTTCTTCTCGAATGGCGAACTTTTTTGGTTACTGGTACCAAGCTCATGTTTGATTTTTAAAATTCCCCTCAGATTTGTGTTTCTAGGACAACAGTTCAAATGCTTTCATTATGTTTAGTATAGTTCCAAAAAAGAGGCATAATAATATGACCACCTGAACTCATTTTGAAAGAAATCGTATTAACTTCAAATGGGATATCTAAATTTGCGGCATGCGCTGGTATTAATTTATGCTAGTAAATCTCTTGCAAACTAAAGAACAAAATGCTATCTTCTTTAGTACCAAAGCTTGCAAACAGCATATTCTATGCTTTTTTCAAACTCTGCAAAGTTTATAAAGTGCTAGTGTATATTAGAACCATATTATACAGTAGACGCCAAAGATCATGCAACATTTCGATATACGCGAAAGTT